AACTTATCTGCAACTGTATTATTCATTAAGAAACAATAATTGTTCGGAAAAGCATCTTCTTGGCAACGAAGATATTTCGTTTGAAAAGTATTTACTCGAAAATATATGCATTTTGGAATTAAACCATTGGGAAATATTATTTATACAGAATCGTTTTTATTTGGAAACGTATTTTATTGGATTAAGTATTAAATTGAAAACATGTTTTGAGGAAACGCACAGCCAATGTATTACCAATGTAATATGTATTATAGCCGACCGGGTAATCCAATTATATTGTACATATCCAATTAAATATTTTTTCAAGAAAATAAGTTTCTGAGCATATAATATGTGATTAAAATAATATAGTAAATTCAGTTGCAACGGAATATTTTACCACAAAAACACGGTTCCGAACGAATCATTTTTCAATATTTAATGCACGCCCGAATGATGACGGATAATCTATAATGTAGTCATGATCAATGTTGTTTTTAGTATAAAACAGGCATATGTTTGATATTTAAATATTGCATTGATTAAATATAAATCTTTAAGAGAATATTCGAAAACGACCTGATTATAGACCTGACACAGAATTAATTTAAAGTAAATTTATCCCGTAGAATTACAGTCTACAGATATAAACGTTAAACGTCGCCAAATTCGGGAAGTAGGTACGCTTTTAATACATACTGCAGTATAGTAACATTATTATAGGTACATAAAAAAAGTTTTTTGAGATATGTATAAAAACAGTATATAGAACTATAATATGTTTTTACATAATAATTCAATAATATATATAGTACCAGTGCAGCAACCGCGGTTATGTTATTTTGGTCTTAATATAAGCGACAATTATTCGCCCTCTAGCACGACGTAAAATCTTTGTTTTGCCGCTTTTGTCTTTAGCATTTTACATCAACTTAGGTTAGGTAACATTCACCTTCTACAAATTACGATATATAATAACCACATCAGAAAATAGAATGTATCCATATATATATAATACAAAACGACGACAGTAAATGATAATATTATACATCATATTATCCAAATATATATAATACGAGTAATACGACTGCATTGATTCATTGATAAATGGTAATATACTTATTAAAGCAATACTCAGATTAGTGTTTCAACACAGGGTATTTTGGATTTTACAAACCTATAGATAACACAAATACTGCACATTAAGTGCTGAATGGTAGTGAGGAAGGCCAACCATAGCATAATTTTTTTAGTGTAATTAACTACCAGAAATTACTTCCGAAGATGAAAATCTATTTAACCATTGTTACTATTCCAACAGGTGCAGATGACAGGCAGAAAATAAAAATAAAACCTTCATAGTAAAACATTAATACATTCATTCCTCCACTCAGAATCTAAAATGTTGACATCACGAAAATTTACTAAATTATAATACATTCATAATTGATAATATTATTATAACAATGTACAAATGTTTGCAAATTAGTAAAAAAAATAATGTTTATAACCAATAATATTTATTTATTTTTTAGAATCATTTTGTTCGATTTATTTTATGCAATAAAGTCTAATATTTATTTTTAATATTAAATTATTAAATATATTATGTATATTTTTTATTTTTTATAGGAATGCCTAGTTAATTGTTTATTTGTAACGTTTACGCCAAGAGTTCGGGCTCCGGAACTAAAGGTGTCACACTGTAACACATTTCCATTCCTTGTAGATGCCCTGCAAACTTATCTCTAATTATGAATTTATATAATTCACAAACAACTGAGGATAACCAAGATATTTACTGTTGGATGATCAAGGAAAATAGTTACTACCAAAGTACCAACTACCAAGTACCAATCATAATTACCTTTCAATTTTTGATAGACAATGGTTTCGGATTATTTTATTAATTTCGCGACGCCGTTAGTGGATGCTTAAAATGATCGTAGTTTGCGAGTATTGTAACGAAATTATTAAATTCCTCATGTATTTGTGAGACTTGTAATTTTTAAGTCCCACGAAATGTGTTGAATGMTTACCGGATTTATGAGCCAAGGGCAAGGGCGTTTATAAATTTAGAAAATGTAAAGAAAAATGGAGAAATTAAAAAATTTCTCCACAAATCCTAACATTATTGCCACTAGAAACATTTCTTCAGGCACCTATACACATGTTCGTATTACAATTCAACGACTGTCGTTCAGAATTTATTGTCATTATGTAGATAATGTATTATAATAATAATATACTATAAGTATATTATATTATATTAAGTATATAACGAGTTTTTCTGCGAGGCCCAGTAATCTTTTGATATTAATTTAAATAAAAATAAAAATGAATCTAAAAATATTTGTAAAATCCAAATAACATTTTTATAAGATAGTCAAGTAATGGCTAAGCGTTAGATCTTCTTTTGCCGAGAGAAATTAATAAATATAGTGAAAATAATTTATTTACAATTCGAGCCATCATAGTCGATGACTGAAGGCTAATAAAAAAAAATTTATTTACAATGTTTTGAACCTCATATAATTTACTAATTAATAATATGTATTAAATTAAAACAATAAACTTTAGATTACTGTTTGCTCTAATGATTTATGTATAAAATAACATCAGAAATGATTCGAAAAAAATAATTGAATTAGGTAGTTGTATTATAATTATGCATGATTTAAGAAATACAAATAAAAACTGATAATTTTATATTTTCTGTTATACAATTATTATTATAATCTATACGATATCTTCTTTTTATTTCTTCTGTGTTGATTTAATGAGTACTACAGTCAACAAGCTATAGCCATTATAGCAATATAATATTATCATACTATCATTAGTATTTTATATTTTGACTCAGAATAATAATTGGTTAATATTATTTAGTACCTATCTATATTTATTACTAGAGTTCACGTGTTTAGCCATCACTGGTCACATAGTGACCTACCTACAATTTTCAGTGAGATATATATTGTATGACCAGTTACACAGATAAAACTGTATTGATCAACATTAGGAAAGAAATTATTTTATTTTTTTTAAGAGCAGCATTTATGTTTTGAAATAGGCCATTATTACAGCAAAAGATGATCTCACATAAACAAATGGATAGTACCTACCTACCTAATAATTTGATTGTCATTTTACGTTTGTTGAAAGGTAGATTGGTAATAAATTATATTATAATTATCTAAAATAGTATAATGTGTTTTTTATGTTCATAATTACTAGAATATTTGGTAGGTAAGTATAGGTATGTTTACCTCGCTATTATATGGTAAAAATTGTCTAAATCAAAATGAAATTACCATAAAAGTGTCYGTTACTTAGATTGTTCGTTATTAAGAGGTTTTTCTGTATAAAAGTATTGAATTTGTTCCAGTTCTGGAAAAAGTGGAGATGTCCGTTATATAGAGGTGTCCGTTTTCACTGTATTTTTATAATTATTAGTTAGGTCAGCTATAAATAATATAACATATACCCAGTTTTAAAATTTGAAAATATACAAATTTGGTCTTATAATAGGTTACGTATCGCATGTTTTATTTATAAGAGCCGATAAGCATAAATCTAATAGTTTAGTATTATTAAAATAATATAAAATATTATCTTTTCATATAATATAAATTATAATTAATATATCTAATGATAAATTATATTATATTAATTCCCCTATTCTTCATATTATAATATTACTAATATTGAATGACTTTTGATTATATTGGCTAGTAAATTAAAAACTTGTGCATTCATTGTGTGATGATTATGATGAAAAAAAAACATTCAGAAATTGATAATTTTTTAATTAATAGGTACTCAGTTACCTGCATATAAAACACTCCTGTTTTTTAAATAAACATTAAATTTATACATTTTTATTTTTATCACGGTGGATACAAACATAGTTTAAAATGTCTTATAAATTATACTTTAGTAAATTTTAATACATTAATTACACTTAATTTAATTTAATCGAAATTGGTTTTTATACAAATARCGAATATCAATTTTATTGACTGAGTTCATATATTTCATTGATTCTACACACGCACTTTTCCACTCCTTAAGTAGGCATACTTGAGCTAGATTTAAAATAAAAAGCTAAAAAAAAAAGTATGTATACTTGAACGAACTTCAAACACTAATATTTATCAAAATATTTCATCATTGACTCTTATTGAGCAAATTTTTTCAAATTATTAATTAATGTGTGAAAATATTACAATAATAATATAAATAGATACAAAAGATGATATTTTATCAAAATTAAATATGACCTAGGTAGCTAATTAAAAATTGTATAATTTATCTTTATGTGATCAAGTAAATAACATATCATTGCAGTTAGGACCATGTATTTATGTACGTATAAAGTTATGTTTTACGATATTAATGTAATGTAATATTAATGAGTTTTTTTTAATCATTATCTATTTATCAAACTCGTCAAAAAAAGTGTTATGTAAGCCTACGTATAGTCTATAATAGAGCGTATAATATAGACACACTTGATTAACCTACTCGATAACGTAATGACGTGATATCAATTGTTTTACATACCTACCTACCTACTTGTAGATTAGTTAAAAACRAAATCTTAAATTTATGTTTTAGTACTTAGCAGACAATTAATTGACGTTAAAGGGTTCGCTTTGTTGACAGAATGCGTAGTGTTGTATTACATAAAAAAACCGAACTATTCAAAACGCTGTCGTTAACAGAATTAAACACGCGCTATAAATAATATTATAATCGTTTAAAAAAAAAAACTCGCACGCCTGGATAGATTACACAGATATTTTCTTTGAAGACATGCACAGGTCGTGCATAATAGATGGGTACGTCGTATAATGCGAACACTGTGAAAAAATAATATAATATATTAATATATCAGTAGGTAAACAATCAAAGTCGACAATTTTATTGTTAATAATCCAGGTACGCGTATTATATATTGTATTATTACCTACTATAATATTAATATCTATAGTATTATATATAGATAGGAATCGATCAGTTTTTTCGAGTCACTCGTAATCAATTGCAACGCGCAAAAGAGCGGATAAATTGCTGAACAATATTGTTGAATAATATATAAAATGATTGTAATAATAATTTGTTATTGAACCACCAAAACGCAATAAACACAGTGTCATAACTTTKAATAATATTAAAATTTATATTTTATAATATCGTCAATAAGTTCGTGGCTTGCCTATTTCTTATATTTAGGTATTGGATTATCGCCTAGTTGACGTCGTTGACGAGTACTTAAACGTCTTATACGAAAACGGCGTATTAACCGGTGCGCACAATGCCAGAGCAGGACACAGTGCATCCCGCGAGGATTTATTTGTCCATATCGAGAATAGTAAGTTGACAAGTTGTACTTTTGGGTTGTAATAAAATAATATATTATTAAAATCCAGTTCGTGCTCAGTCGTATTTACATATATATATATATATATACATAAATATATTAGATCATTAGAAAAATAAAATAATAATAATATGTTTGCGAATCGCGGGACACCCTTTGCTTACGACGAATTTTGTTCAGTACGACGTGTAACTATATATTTATATGAGCCAATCAATAATAATTAAGACTTATTTAGAAAAAACAAAATAATATACATAATACAAATAGTAGTAAATACGAATAGCCATTTTTTGCTACTCCCTACTAATGTTATTTGTGGTGGGTGTACCTGTTAACTCWTAAGTTTGAGCTGATTCCTCATTATTAATTGGTAAAGTATGCGACACTTTTATACTTGAAACAAAAACACACTATCGAAACTACCTAGTGAACGAAAATTGTCCATGTCGTTTGTTAAAGAGAGAAACAACAAATTCATAGGTACCCACTAAAAACCAAAAATATATTTCACACTTATATGTTCGATATGTGTTACTTATGTCGATGGTTACTGCAGCATGTTTGACGCAAAAGACGGTGAATAATTTCATGTGCTAGGTTGAATACTTAAATGTTGTACCGGAATGACAAAAAAAGCGGGCCCAATTTATGTTTGAAAAATCTCTGAACCGAACGTGTCGGAACGCATTTAGATTCAATGTCACGTGCATGTCTGTAATACAATGTAATGAGAAAGGGAAATATTAATAATAACAATAATAAAAACAATAACAACAACAATAACAACAACAACAGGAGACAATAATAAACACGATGCGCGCAGTAGCATTACAATATTTTTAATGCTTGTTAATAATATTCGACARTAAAKAACACTAAATAGGTATTAATTATAGGCGTGTTGGTTGCAGTGATGGTCGTATATGAGCTGTGAGAACGCCGTCACCGGTACAGCAGTTGTATATCGGACTGAATGCCGATAATAATAATATAATATAATATCGTCGAGTGCGACAACGTGCCGGTACGCGGACGCGATTAGATCTGTCGAGCGCGCGCGGTCGCCTTATCTCGCGGCCACTATAGTGTCTGTGAGTGTGCGTGTGTGCGCGGTGCGATATACCCACACTCGCGCAAATAAACCCACACACGCGCAGGCAGTGTCTGTTCGGCGGCGCGCGTTCAACGTCWGCGTCGTGTGGTTGCACAGCAGGTTATAGCTGTAGCGAACGGGTCGTGGTCGCGGTGGTGCCGGACCGTATCCGAGGAATACAAGACAACAACGACGACGAAGACAAGTGACAACTATACGATACAATACAGATAATATACAATATTTACATATAGACGGGTGTAGTGTCGTGATGGTGCTCTCGATGGCGGCGGAGACGGAGAGGCCGGCGGACGAAAACACTTCGTCCGCGGTGCTGGCGAAAATATTGGCCATGACGTTCCTGGGCGTGTCGTCGTTCGTGGCCGGCAGTACACCCGTATGCGTGTTCGAGCGGATGGGCATCCGGCGGCGATCCCGGGGCGCAGCGAACACCGCGCTCAGGCTGATACTCAACTTTGGCGGCGGCGTGCTGCTGTGCACCACGTTCTTGCACCTGTTGCCCGAGGTCCGGGAGGGCGTCGAGCGGCTGACCGATGACGGGACGCTCGACTCGAAATCGCCAGTGGCCGGCCTGCTCGCCGAGCTCGTCATGTGCGCGGGCTTCTTCTTCATGTACTCGATCGAAGAACTGGTTCACGGGTTCGCGGGCAACGACTGTCACGCGCACCACAGCCAYGGCCACAGCGGTCACAGCCACAGCGGCCACAGCCACAGTCACAGCCACAGCGGCCACAGCACCACGAACCGCGGTGGCGGTGGCAGCGTCGACGGTGTCGTGTCGCAACAGCGTCGTTCCGACGCTGTGGTCGCGGCCGAATACGACAAGGTGGACGCGGCGGGGCGGGTGGCCAACTACAACTCGTGCATGTCCACGGTCGAGCTGGCGGCAGCCACCAAGAAACCTGTTCCGGCCGTCAAGAAATCGGTGCCGGTCGATGCGTCGTCGTCAACGTCGCCCGAGTCGGTCCTCCGCGGATTCTTAGTCGTCGGAGCGCTCAGCATACACGAACTGTTCGAGGGCCTAGCCGTCGGTCTGGAGAAAAATCCAACGCAGGTAATTCACTGCATTTTATAAGATCTTACAATTTTAAGTACRATATATTATAATACTTTAAGTATATCCGACGACTCTGCCAGCTGCAGTCTTGTACGTAAGAAATTTGTTAGCATTTTGTAAATAGGAAGGTACTTGAGAGACATTTTTTGTATTCGTTATTTTTTTACGTTTGAATCTATTTAAGTTTTTATTGCATTTAATTTGTCAACAATTTTACCACGCATCATGGTTTGGTTCAACTATACATTTCCCATATGGCATATTGAATGAATATTCTGTTGATTGTTTTCCTAGTTCGAAAGTTCGATGGAGCATAATAACAGTATAAGCCACTGTCGCACACGCTCCTCACCGACAAAAAATGTTTCAATCATCATGTGAATGTGTATATATTAGATATTATGACAATCTTTATAATATTGGTATAATTCCCATTTTATTATAAAATCGATGGACTATAATAGTAACTACTAACTAATACCTGTTACATCTACCTATGGTTGAAGTAATGAAGTATACTACCTGCTATATACTGATGACTGAAATTAATGAACGACTATTGCCCTTGAAGATAATAATTTTGTGAATTTAATACTATATATATCATGTATGGAATACATGAAAATAAAACTTAATATCCAAATATTGTATTTTTTTATATGGATTATATTTTACGACTACATTATGCATATGTCCATTCATCGTTTTTTCTGAAGTGATAATGTATGTGAATGTGATCATTCATTTTACTGATTAATTAGGTACTTTAAAAAGTATTTAGAATACTATCTAATTAAAGAGCACTTTTTTCAAAAGTATTTTAAATTTGTATTTAGATACTTATTTCAAAAGTATTTGAAAACCATTGGTCGAGTACTTTACAAGCCTGTAGGTAATAATATGTGTGTTGAACACGTTCAGTGAGCGGCGACCCATTATCAATATATAAAATTGTACATTATATTATTTTATTTTATCGGTCATAGTAAAATCGACCTCACTGTTTTTCTTACATTATTGTATTATTTGCATTTATTTATGTACGTACAAGTGTACAGCTGTACAATAGTATATTGATAGTTTTCGGTTTGTCAGTTTTCACGTCAATACGAATTGGTGCTCAATACGATAGGACGTAAATATTAACAAAATTATTAAAATATTATTCTAAGAGCAAAAGATTTATCCAATTTTAATTTGGTTRGGTATATTGGTATTTTTAATAAAGATTAATTTTTTTTTTAAATGTATGGTTTTAAAAATAAAACTGATTCAATACTTCTTTGAATATTATAATTCTATGTACCTAACGATTGTCTATAAAATATATAAGTATATACTATACTAAATGCACTTTATCTACACAAACATTAATCTACAATTGATTAGAAAACAACAGTACGTTGTACGGAATAAACATAATTATCAGAATAAAAAAAATTAAAAAAATTAAAAAAATATCGTAACAATCTAAATATATTTTTCTTACGTATCTCGTAGCACTTACAAAATGTATATTAGATATTCAAAATKTAATCAAGTTTTRGATGAAATATGTAGATTGTGTTGTCCAGCTGTATAGTAATATAAAACAAACAATAATTATTTGATCRCCTTACCTAAACCATAAATACATTTACAGTACTTATCTAAATTAAAAAACTGTTAAAAAATTAAGGTTAAAGTTTATTTTACACGGTTTATAATACTTGTATTATAATCGATACATTTGTTTTGAAGAAATGAATAAGGTCAAATTAAGAAATTATARTAATAAAACAGTTTCTAAGAACAGCTGTCAGCTGGTTTATTAAAAAATGGTAAAGTTTGTCTAAAAACAAGTGTAACGCTATTACAGTATTGCATGTACTGATGTACCTAATATTTTCAACGATACTCATGGTTCAATGCTTTAATCAATGTTAAATCTATATAGATAAATAAAACATTCAAGAATTAAACTTTTGACTTTTTCTACTTCCTAAGAATGTTTTAGAAAATAAAAACATGATCGGGGGGTGGAGTGGCCGAGCGGACTAAGGCGTCTGTTGCCATGCACGCAGTTGCCGGTTCGAACCTCGGTCACGGGCGGCATCGCTCTTTGGGCATTTCGCGGTGTCTGGAGAGAGAGGCCGCCGCCCCCCAACCGGGCATGGCAGAAACCTACGGKTGCCCATTCAAAATTCTGCCAAAATACCCACGAGTTTAAAACCTACAGTACCTTCCCCTACAGTTCCCCCAGGCTAATGACCTCAGTTGTCGAAGCCTTAACCCTAAAAAAAAAAACGTGATCCTATATCAATTATTCTTGATTCTCATTTTTCATTACTCATCGTTACCCTAACCCAACCTACCTATTATAAATTAAATATTAAAACCTCCGACCTCAAACCTCAAACCGTACAAACGCCTCCACAGTATTTACTTAAAATATTTAAAAAATATACAGAAGTAATTGCCAAAGTACTCCATGATGTTAGGTGTGGTTGTGCACAAACCAAATTGCATCGTACCCCATCGACGAAAGAAGTAACCACATTTTCTCGGCGATTAGAGTATGATGTAAAGGTTGCAATAATATAACAAGTTGAGTTAAATTTTTAGACTTATAAGTTTTCCAAAACTCCTAACTAGTAATATCTTTAAGCTTATGAGTTATGACTATCGTTTATTAAGACCTGTTTTTCACAATCCTTTTAAAGCTAAATTAGGTGTATAATATTATAATGTATAGTTATTGTAATAGATTATTTGTATAAATATAATTACAGAAAATATCTATTTTATTTACCCTATTTTTTTTTTTTTTTTAATTACAACAAAAAATATTACATTCATTTTAGTAAGATGAACTACGGAACTTTAAAGAATTTAAAAATGCATACCTAATTAATCAATTTTCCAAGTATATTTATAACAGYATTAATTTTTTAATAAAAATAAAAGCTTAATTATTTTATGAATATTCTTAGTTTTAACTACAATATATTATATTATAATATTTGACAACCATTTTTTCTATAAATGTATATATAAGAGCCAAATTTAAGCATATATCACTTGAGCATATGAAAAATTAATAATATGCCATACACGCAGTATGTACCTATTGAAACATTATTTATTATAATTGGTTTTAAGCATTTTATAATTATATTGTTATATCTTTATACCAATCCAGTTCATAGGTACTCAACAATATAACAATTCTAGTGCATTCATTTTAATTAGTTTATTGCGGGTATTTAAACTTAAAAGTGTTCGATTATAATATTTAAGACATGTTACAACTTGAATAAAAAGAAATAAATGTGTATTAAACCCCTCTTGTAAAATGTTATTGTTTCTAGATAAAAAAGAAAAAATGCTTAACTTACATATTTATCTTTAAGAGTATTTTATTGTGAAACAATGCTTTTATAATGGAATTATATTTATAAATATTATAAAATCTTATAAGATATTAAATACTATACTTCAAGCATGCTCTTATTTTGTATTACGTATAGTGACGTCCCGACCTGCTCGATATTTCAAGAGACCTCTTAGGTCTTAGATATACGCCCATGAAATAAGCTCTACGATGTTAATGGATTTATTCCTAATCAACTACTATTCTTGGTATTACCATCGAAGTACCTACACTGAAAATTGTTTTTGTAATTTCAAACCACGCTTTATTTTCAAAACACAAAATTTAGGATTTAGGGTAGAATTGACGGAAACTCATTCTCAATGGCAGATATAACTTCTAATAGTTATATAGGTAATAAATAATAATGTTCGTTGTATAATGATTGTTTGATACAAATTGACTTTTTTATTTTATAGATTTTTAATATTAATATAAAGGTTTTATATGTATAATATTAGCTGGACGCCTGGATCCCATATGCACTACATACGTTGCCCGTTAAACATGAATTTTGTAATTTTATTTTAATATACATAAACCAGTTTATTCCTATTTTATCTCTCAATATTTCATTGTCACAAATTGATTCTATAGAATTATGCTCCACGATATATCATATTCTATCATTTACAAAAAAACCACGTGACTTTCGGATGAGTTGTTACAAAAGCAACGCGTGACAAAATTTTCATTTTCACATTTATATAAATAGAAAATATATATATTATTTAAATAGRTTATATATAKGTAATTATAATAGTAATGCATCAAATAGACAAATGAGTAATAGCACAAGCAATTTTATAATATTGATATCAGCTAATGTAATATTATATCAATATAACAATAAATCTTTAAGATGTACCTAAGTTTTTTTGTCTTTTAAGTGGTAACCATTAACTCCTCACATCATCGCTTATTATTATATAGCCAATTTTTATGCTTAATTTTCGACTGAAGTATAATTTATTATCRATTGGCTATTCCATTTAAAATTTACCCAACAATTCACATTCTATTCAATAATTCTAGTWATAAATACCTACGTATTGTAATTTATATTTTATATATTCCTATATTTATTATTGGTTGTCTCTTGTTAGGAGATAACACTTAAATAAGATCGTTATATAAAATATAGTTACTTATATAAAATTGTTAAAGGTAAAGTAGTTGACAATTTGAATAAGTAGTTTGAGCTATGCATTTTTAGTAAATACACAAAAATATGATAACGAGTAAATACTCAAAAGCGCAACCTCGACGTGAGGTAAAAAATAATAATTATTGCATATAATTTATCACACTAGAAAAAAATGAACAGTTTAAAGTGATAAGTGATTGTTCATAAATAATTATTTAAAGTATCTATACGCATGTGAACAACAGTTCAGAATACTACTCACTTTCTTATTATTGAAGGTTAGTTATACACATGCAATTATTATTTTTGTGTAGACTTTAATCTCATATTTGTATCAAAACTACTATTTAGTCGACAAATATTAGATATTATCAAATTCTTTCATTTATTTTTGTGAAAATTAAATATTTTATTTTGTGTTATTTTATAACAGTACTTACCGGATCCTAGTGAATGAATATGTAATACACACAAAATGAACAATATAATTTAATAAAGCTAATAATTTAAAATTTAAAAACTTAAATAGAAAACGGGTGAGTCCTCATTTGTAAATCGTATAAGACATGCAGTCTTAGACAGGAATTTAATATCGTGGGGAGGGGGATTTATCATAATAATGACATATTTTATGATAAATATTATATACTTTCCATGTTGTAAGGGGAGCTATAACCCCCCTCGTCYCCCTCAACCCCCGTATCAACGGCCGAAGACGTGCAGTACAGGAAAATTAGTTCTCGTTTGACGATGGCGACTCTAAATTGATATAGGAAAGCAATGTAGAAGAATCAACAACATCTGCCAGAAGTTTCGTGAAACAATTAAATTAGCAGCTTTTGATTTATGATCATAAAATATAAACAATATAAATTTTTTTGAAAATTTGAGTTCACGTTGGTATTCTTCATTATTGTCTTGAATCTGAAATAGAAGATTGACTTTAAGCTTTTTGGATGAGAGATTTAGTAGTCSAGAAGAGGCCAGTCAATTTTGAGGATATAATTAARAATTTTCGTTGAACTCTTTCTAAAATTTGAGTGTCACCAGCRGTAGATGGATTTTAAACGATAGAACCAAATTCATTTATACAGTACGAACTAATGAACAAAAGAAGAGTATTTAAKGAAAAACCAAGTTTATATTCGGAGCACTTTCATTGGATAAAATCAAAACTTTAAGAGCTTCATAGCATGTTTTCTCAGCGTATTGAAGTCTTGGACATAAACAAAGTACCTATAAAACAATGACCCTTAATTTTCTCAATAACTCGGGTTCTGACGATCCCCTCGATGATTTGGGCTTCTTTTTCACGCCTTGTCATGACGTCATATATTTGTTATTATCAAATTGATTTACTGTATATATGTATACTTAGGTATAATAGTATAAACCAGGGGTGGCCAACTTGTGGCCCGCATCATAGTCCTATGCGGCTCACGTCTTATCGAAAAAAAATCAATATTTACTTATTAACGACAAAATACGATAAATTATAAAAATTATAAAATATTTTTATAAACATTTTGACTCTTGATATTATTGTATTTATCCATGTGACTCGTAAACGTATTCATGTTTCTCACTTCTGGTATAGAATAATATTGACTTAAGTACAATTATTGTAGAAACAATTTAAAAAAAAATAATATTYAATTTTTTGATTATCATGATTAGTGCTACAATAATAATGTATGGTAAAACAAAAAATCTTACCATAAGAAAGCATTATATGAAATTTATAACAAAATAAATATATGAATAAAAATATTTTCCAAGTAGGTACCGAACACTGAATAATCAAGCAAACGTTTCAAATAATTTCATGAACCAATTTTAAAATTAATACTAACTAGGGTTAGGATATTTATGACTTTTGCATAATTTTCTTTTAGTCGTGCACATTGCAGACTAAGTTATAAATACGTTTTGTGCGACATAGAATCAAATACATTYAATTTTATTTTGCATATTTTTGGATTATTTAAGTTTTGGATGATTATGAATAAATGCATATTTYGCCAAAAAATAACTTAAATACAATATAAACCTCAATAAAAACCCATAGGTAGACACAGTCGGCTTCACATTTAACGAAAATGAGGAAATATGAAACCCGTTGTTTATAATTAACTTATCCATATTACTTACTTATCTTAACTTTAACTCTACGTTTATTAATCATGTTTACGACCGATGATTGCGATAGTGTATAGATAGGACAAAATAACTTATATTATAAAATCATTATAGAATTGCATCAAAAGAAACACAAAAGAAAGCAGTGACAATAAATCTACGCATTTGTATGTATACCTACCTATTTGTGTCTATTGAGTAAAAACAAAATTAAATATTAATTTACTGTAAGTAGGTACCTATGTTTTTAATTTCAAAATATCATATTTTTATATACTTGTATTTAAGTTTAAAGTTATAAGAAAAGTTGTAAATTATTAAATTAATTTAAAATACATTTTGGATTAGAAATAAAATGTTATAATGACATGTTTAATTTTTTTTAAGAGCATATTTTGATATTTTTTGTGCATATTTGCATGCATTTTTTAGTGTTTTTAAGATCATAAACATTCTAACCCTAATACTAATAACACAATGATCGACTTACGACTACAATATATATATAGTAAAGATTTATTGAAAGAATTAATTAAAAGTATTTACTTATAATAGACATAATATACTTTCATCATAACATATTTGGAATACAACCCAAAACATTTAGTTTCAAATAAGATATCCTACTCAAATATATCGTGTCCACCAAAAACCTTAATATCTTTTAAAATTGTGGACTTTGATTTTATTCATAATTTTAATTGTAGGTACTGTTGTCTGAAAATGTCTTACTATATATTTATGTCTTATATAAACGAATTATTGAATTTAAATGTATTTAATAAGCATAACTATTATCGTGCACAAAATATTAAAAAAATGTTTCGTTGCACTTATTGTATGTAATAAATTTTATCTCATATTGCCTATAGATTTTTAAATAATGTATAAACAATCTTTTAAATTCCAAATGGCATATTATGGCGCCACGCAAGTCGCAATAAAAAAAAATTAAACAAATAAATAATGTACATAAAATGGATCCTGCGCGGCTGGATCTTTGTCTGTACTATCACTGTAAATATATTTGACTAATTACTTTCTTTTCAACATTTGTTTTAATTGTTCAATATAGAACTCGTTCTATATTGTTCTACTTTTTTCAAAAACTAGTTTTAATAATTGAATAGAAATCTTATATCTTAGATTCTGAGCAAACAATGAATGTATTGATTTGCAATGATATGTGTTTTATTTTATCATTATTTTTATTTGTGTCTACCCGATATCTATAGTCGAGTTAAAGTTTCGGTTTTTAAATTCGGTACCTTGGGAAAATGACTTAAGTTGATGCTTTCGGGAATAAAATAATATTTCCAGTAGTTTTCAAATGCATCGAAAAAACAAAATTAAAGAAAAACGGGAAAATTRTGCAAATCCGGTTTTCGACAAAATTGATTTTGATTATTGGTGTAATTCTAAAAGAATTTATCGTGGATACATGCAATTTTTACTGAATTTTATATTAGTATTTTCTATAAACCACACAATTTTCGATTATTATTAGTTGTTTCATAATTAATATCATTTGTAAAATTCTAATTAAGAAACAACGTTTTTATCCTTCTAAAATATTTCATAGATATTAAAGGAAAAGGTTTTGTATGGTATATAATATAATATTAAGCAMTGAATAATCTATTATTTAATAATCCATTTACTATTCTTATCCAAATATTTATTTTTATATATATACGGAAATTAATAACTATATTGTTTTAATTTTTGTTTTACAGGTTTGGTCACTTGCTGTGGCCGTTGCATGCCATAAGCTGGTCATCGCATTTTACGTCGGATTACAGATGCTTTCGGACAGGACGAAGCCATTGCTAGCRCACTGTTCAATATTGCTTTTTGCTGTCACGTCTCCGATAGGCATTGGCGTAGGCACTCTGGTCAGCAGTCTTGAAGAAACAAACACTGTGGTCCTGTTATCAGTCATACTACAAGGATTAGCTACCGGCACGTTGATGTATGTGGTATTCTTTGAAGTTCTCAAACCGTCTGTTGGAAGTCTACAAATTAAGCAAAGAATATTACGACTAATATTTATTGCTATTGGTTTTGTATCGATGCTTTCCATTCAATTACTCATATCAGAATCAGAATAATATTTTTTCAACTAATTTATTATTTCTGGACGAATGTATCTATTTGTGATATAGTTATATATTATGTCCATTTGCCTACCTACTTATACTATGATTACCAATTGGACGTATTATACATTATGAAGAATAGTAAAATGAAGTTTGAAGTTTGAATAGTTAAGTGAATACACTTAACTCAGCTAAAAAAGATGTGGTCGTGATGAAATGATAAGTCTAATATTATTACATCTTACAAAATAAAAATATTCTTATCAAACGTAATCAATTAACCTTTTTTTAAAAGATTACTTTACTACAGAAAGGTTGAAACTAGAAAAAAAATATTGATTAATAAAATTGTCTAGATTAAAAAATTGTGTATTTGTATTTTATAGATATTTAAATAATATTGATGATAGAATAAAAAGTATATCTTATCATTTGCTATTGTGACGTATATAATTACGAATTCCGATAAAACAGTAAATATTTATTGATTCCACTTCATCACATTGGTTTAAGATAATATTCCATACGAGTTTTCTTAGTGGGGCTCAATTTTCATTGCGTATAAAATTCAAATAAAATATCAAAAATACGTTATTTCGTTGTTAACTATTTAATTTGTACGAGATTTTTTAATTGTATTATAATATTTATTGGTTTATTTACATCGGTCAGYGTACCTAAGTAATAGTTGGTCATAAGCCCTCTTCATGGGGAAGTTTGTTTTTTCTCTAATAATAACTAAGAAGGTAGTGGTGGATTGCAAAAGTAATTCAATAAATAAAAAAAATATCAAAGTTAAAAGTTATTAAAATTAAAGGAACGAACAAATAGAGAGTAACGAAATATATTATCGAAAATATATATAATATGAMTTGTGACGTATTATTAATAATAAATAAATTTATTTTATTTTGTTTATTCGTAATCAATATTCAATAAGAAGTAGTTATACAGTCTATACGCTATATTGTTATACATAAGATATAATCTATATACATGTATAAGTGAATATGTTTATAAATTAAATAGTATAGAAAATTAAGTTTTTACTAAATTATTCAATTATATTTGTATTAACTACCTAATGACTAATGTATATTTTATATTTTGATTTAGATTATATTCACATATTTTTCTATTTTTTCCAAATGACCAATTCGAAATCTTTAAAAATTTACAATTAACAATTTTAATCACAAAACTTTCTGTAACGTGGGTTTTTTTATAAACACGATATCAAGCAAATCTATGGATACGAGAATCTATATAAAATATAAGTGTATTGTTTTATTGTATTACCTTTATCAGTTGTTATTTTATACTTTYCTGTATTGTTTCACTACAAATCCATTAAATAAATACCTAAATAGTAATTATATTGGCTTATATTATTATTTCTAAGACCATTTATTATTTAATAACAATAATTGTAATATACTATGACAGGAGTATTTTGTTTATAATATGTATTAATGTATTATGTACTGTATACTTGGTATAATATTTAAACTAATAAAGTAAAAACACTAAAAACTATACAATACTAAATTAAACAGTAGGTAGTTAATAGTAAATTGTGAAAAATGTAAGCTAGATTGATTATGCTGCTCAAAAATATGGCTGATGGGGTCCAAATGAGTGTCCAAGTTATCTGAAAAACGTTTGTGTGAATTTGAGGGGGAACGATTTTCTGGCTTCAAGAATCTTGATTGATTGGARTGTTTTCAGAAACTGTGATTTTTTCTGTCGTTTTAATTTTGTTTTTTTTTGTCTTTAAGGAGGGGTGGTTTTTGAGAAGTTGTGTATAGTGGGCTAGTGGAGGCTGAGCAGATTGTTGTTGGTGGTGCCTGTCGTTTCTGAGCTGAGGATTCAGTGGTGTCGTTCCAGTTTGAGGGAGTTTCGTCTAAGGTAATGAGCATTGGGTAATTGTTAGGAGGTTGGGAGTTTTCGATTTGATCGATTTTGTGGCTAGATATCTGACGTAGAATTTATCTCGGTTACATTGTGTGAGGTGTGGTAGAGATTTTCATGTTGTTTACCATCGCTTTTTTGCAAATCAAGTGGTGTGTCTCGTAGATTTGCAGATGAAGCATGTTATTTTATCGTCCGTGAAAAATATACGAAATTGTGAGTCGTTTATATTGATTAATAGTGAACTTGGTATTTTTGGAATATCGACAATGTCGTCGTATTTTATGTAMATTTATCGGTGAAAACTGAGAATGTGATCATATTCTTCTGCAAAAAAATTCCAGCTTTGAGGTGGCTTATTTGAGAGACAGGGATAATGTTAAGCATTTTTAATTGATCAAGGATGCTTTGGTTGTTGATAGAAGGRCAGACGTTGGATATTACTATCCTTTTAGCTGGGTTGTTAAGTCTCCGAATTTTTAGACCCTGGTTGTTTATTGTTATGGTTGGGTGTGTGTCTATTAGGCTCTCTAAGTTTTTTTTTGCTAGATAGGAATATGCAGAACCGGTTGTTAAAAATTCTAGATACGAAAGTGATATTTTTGGGAGAGGCTATTTTCCCAACTGCTATAACATATTCTTTTTGTGGGATGCCGTCTATAGAGTTGAAGACTAGCTATTGCCTGGTCTCTCGACGGTGTTTTATCGTTTGCGGTGTTTGTTGCAAATCACTTTTGTTGTATTGTGGTATATTCATGTTGTATATATTATTTGAAGACGTTGGAGCCGTTGGATAATTGAATACGGTGTGGTTGTTATCAATATTGCTAATGGGTTCATTAGCGATAGAGGAATTATTGTGCGATGTTGATAGTAGGGCGAGATAGGGCTACTTGTCCCGAAATTTCATGAGCGGAGGTACTGAGATTAGCGACCGCATTATCTCTCGCTAATGATGTACCCAGACTGGATTGTGGTTTTGTGGTTTTCTTATTGAGTATTAATATTGGCGATGTGATATTTTTGGTAGGCTTATATGTAAATTTGTTTGTTCAGTTTGTTGTAATTTTTTGAGATTTTTGAGCTGTTACACCTATGTTTGAAGGTTTTATCCTGGGCGAGTGCCCTTTTGGGGGTTTTACAGTAAATTAATAAGCATATTACTTGAAGAATGGAGAAGATTTGGATATGCTTTCGGAAGCTTAATAAAGGTGCACTTGCGATACATACGTGTTAAACGTTCGAAGGTTGAACACGTACTGTATTTATTTTAAAAATACACATAAATTTGTATTTATGTATTTATGTATTTATGTTTGGGAGTTCAAAAAACCATTAAAAAGAAGACAATAAGATATATAATAAGATCTCTCTATTCACATAAATACATCACTGCTGAATGTATAGTGTATTAGTGTAGGTACATTAATAACTAGTAGGTAGGTTAATATCATAAAAACTAATGAAAAATAACTACATAAAAAAAAAAAAATAAAACAATAACAATATTGAACATAGGTATCTACTATTATATATTTATAACCACCTTTAGGTATAAGTACGTATGTACCTCTTTAGGTTTATCGTATATTTACCTACTTACCGCCTATACCTACATGAGCGTATAACTACACATCATAATATATATAATTGATATCCAATATCCATACAATAAAAACAATCAACAAATTTAGTGTAGTTGTAAAAATTAATATTATATTTTAAGGAACCATAATAAAATGATTAACACACTATTAAAAGGGATTATTAATTGAATCCATACACTAATATGAATGGATTTATTGTTTTATTCATCACTAATTTATAACTCTGAACATCAGACGCTCATATAAAAGCTTGAGGAATTMAATTCAACTTTTTTAATGTTCTTGTAAAAACGTTTATGGAACCTTATCAACAAGTKATCACCCTTAAAAAGTGGAAAATCTAGGTACTTTTTCTACTTCAAAGGCGATATCAGATAAAAATTAAACACTAAAATATTAGGTACAAATCATGTTTTTAACATTAACTCTTTAAAATAATTTAATATTTATAACTTAATTATTTAAACTCGTTAGTTTGCTCATAATATGGCGATAGACATTAATCAATATTGTACGCTGATAATATACACAATACGCACTAAAACCAGAATTCTAGTTTTACAACACAATATTTTTATAGTTTTATATTGAAACAAAAGTTATAAACAACAGTTTTCGTGGAATATCAGGCATCAACGACAAACAATGATAATACAAAATAAAAATAAATTATTAAGAACCCATAAGTAATATATTAAAAAATTATATAAAAATTACTAACATAGTTACTAAATAACTATTCTTTTTAAAAACATTTTGAACCAGTTTTGAATAATACAGTGATACACGTACCTACACCGTGGTGACGGTCGACAACTGTGATGACATACGTTTGACATGCGATGAGCCGATGACATACGTTTGACATGCGATGAACCGATGACATACATTTGACATGCGATGAGCCGATGACATACGCAATACGCTGATACCTTTATTTTTTGTATAGTTAATAATAAATCGTACCTATATTTGTAGTTTAAACATATTATTCATTTGATGGTAAATTAGTGGGTACATTAAAATTCGGATTGAGTTACGATTAACTTTTTTCAAAAAGGTTTACGGTAATTGTGCCAATATTAAATTAATATTATGCCATTATATTACAAATAACAATAAAAGCAAGAAAACGAACTTTATTCGAACAAATTATATTTTTGATGAAATAAAAAATTTCCTATGAAGAAAGTAAAAAGAATAGATTAGAATTTGTAAGATTTGTATTACCTATATTGTTTTTTAAAAATAAAAATATAAATAAAAATAAATAAATTGTTTGAGGTATAAAAAAAAATTCTATAGATCGTATTTATTAATTTATTAGAAAAAAAATATTTATAGTAATTATTATTTGACTAATTTTATTAACCTCATATATTATATTAAATTTGTGAAATCTACGTAAAATGTAAACAAAATTATACACGAAGCGGGTAGATAATATTATGTGGCCCAATTACCGATCGCCCTATAATATTCAATAAACGACCGTCAGAAATATTATCGYGAGTATTTTCGGTACATTGGTAGGTATAGATATTATGAACAGAAAATAAGTATAAATTTAAATTAAGAGTTATTATCATAAATATAATACCATGATCATTAATAATGAAGTTTATTTTCTGCATTAAACTCAAATTGATTTTATGTTTTTGGCTTTAAATAATGTAGGTATAGCAAGTAACAAACACGCAGAAAATGTATTTAAGATTACACAACTAACATAAAAAGAATAGGTATAGAATTCTGGTAAATTAAAATTTGAATATTTAAAACGCTTTTTTAATCATGTATTTTGTGTTGCTTATTTTATATTTTTTTTTCCTTCAGTTTTGTGTTCCCCCCATTCACCCTACGCAACAARCTATAATCAGTATAGTAYGCCAAAGCAGCGWGTGTAAACACCTACCACGAATCGCGTTTGTTTGGGGCCGCTTTATGAATTGTTAACAAACGACTATAATACCCTACTATTTATGTTGTTACTATTATTATCGCCGTCCTAACACGTCACGTAGCCAAACTGTCAGATGGTCTTCGGGACTTGTGTGTACATGGCATTTTCTCATCACACTGCGAGTCTGCGAAATAACACGGCTACGAAATAATTGCAATATTTTAATACGTCATCGCGTACGTCACGAGTACTATCATCATCGACTGACACTACCCTACAGCAGCAGCTGTTCACTACGACAATATTTTYATAGTAATAACTATAAAAACAAAATAGTACTATCGTAGTCAACGGACTACAGTTACTCTTACTACTAAGTACTAACTACACGACGACCTGTGCGCACCGGCRGCGATGATGACAGGGCAACCGATTCGCAACGCCGCACCGCCCGAAAACGTTGGTCCGTCGGCGGCACCGTAGATTCGCACGATCCGGAMTCCGTGATTAAAACGCGGTAAAGTAAACAAACAAAAACAAAACAATAAACGACG